TCCCTACTTTTGGGGCTGTTTTGCTGGCACACAGCAGGCCCATGGGTGTGTTTGCAATTACAGAGGGTGAAACAGGAACAGCTCTGCCTTATCTCCCTGGTTTCCCAATGTCACTAGGCGCATTTTATTTTGAGATTCCTGATGGTGCTTGGCAAAGATAAACAAAATCTTCCATCAGGAAACCTGGGAGCTATTTCCACAGGAAGCTCCAAATCACTAAAGTAAATAAAACCCTTTTACATTATTCCCAGCCACATTATTTAGCTAGTCTGAGTCTGCAACAATTGATGAGAGGTGTCATATATTAGGGACTTGTAGTCCTTAAACATATGATTTGCTTGGAATCCTGTGCATTTTGCTTTTGTCCCTAGATTTGTTCAGAAAATAGAGTCTGTCTTTGCAGAAGACACATCTAGGAAAAGTTCCAGACCTGACAACATGGAAGTAGCTGCAACTGTATTATACTGTTGGCACGTTATCCTTTTATGCTAAAAATAGTTCAATTGCTCTCAGTCCCAGGAGATCTTTAGTTTCATCTTAAGAGTTTTGCTTGGCTCTTCTGAGCTTTTATCGAGTACTGGCATTTTCAAAAGCCAAAATTTGCAGTATTTCAGACCAGTACCCTGTCTTTCCCAATATATATCAGAGCCATTTCAATTCAAGCATGAAGAAGACACAGCAATTTCTTAGACCCAAATCATTATCCACAATCAAAAATTCGGCCCATTCATTGGACTGAAGTATATCTGAATTCAGTACTTTTTAACAAAATCAAGCACAGGATTCACTTCATCTAACTTAAGCCTAAAAGTTAGGTATCTAGGTTCAAGTTGGTCATGGAGGATCATTTCAAAATTAAGTGTGAGGGATCAGGATCTCTGGAATTTAACTCGTCTTAAGGCATATGGTTTGCATTGCCCCCTGGATGTGCATATGTCACTCCATGGGGTATAAACTTTTGCCCATACAAAGAACAACTATCTTCAAATAGATGTCTGCATTTTGATAGCTACAGCTAAATATCATGTTTCCTTCTGTAGGG